AAGGCATATAGATACATACAGTACAAGTTATTAGGTGAGGTTTCTTATTCCGCAGTATTTGGCGATAAGGCATTGGAAGAATACGAAAAGGAAAACGCTAAAAAGGAAAATGCATCATTGCGTGATCAGGTCAACGAACTTGAACAGAAAATGAATCTGCTATTACTCATGCAGCAAGAAACATTGAAAAAGCTTAACCAGCTTGCAGAAAAGCAGCATATTTATTAAAAAATTTTAGGCGGTCATATAAGACCGTCTATTTTTTATATAAAAAAGGGTATTGACACGTCTTAAAAAGGGTATGATATGACAAAATTACAATAATATAATTATGTAAACTTGTTAATTTTGGAGGGTTTTAGAAATGGCAAAGATTACAGACATCAAGAACCCACTCACAAGCTCAGGCAATATCCTTAATATTGGCGATTGGCTCGGCGCTATCTGGTGGGTAGTATTTTTCGGTACAACATTCGCAATTGGTGCTAAGGTAGTTCAGGCACTCGATGCTAAGCTTCCAGGTTCAACTACACCTGACATGGCTGGCTTCAAGGCTGCTCCAACTGTAGCACCTATCACAGTACTTTAATTTTAGGAGGTTTAACTATGGCTAACAATGCTTATTATGCTGGTACATTTAACGAAGATATCGTTTGTTCAGAAGATACAGGCTCTGGCGTAGTTCTTACTCCGGGTATGTATGTTCCTATTGGTAAGTATGTAGTTAAGGCTGACGAAAGAGTAGGTCTCGGTAGAGGTTCATACGATTCACAGAACAGCGCAATCGGTCACCTTTTCGCTCAGTTCTTTGACACAACTGGCACACCTGTTCAGATTACTAACGGCAAGTTCAGAGTTCTTCTCGAATCATCACAGGGTATTCCTATCGGTGGTCGTCCTGTATGGGTTGACGTAGATCTTAACCAGATTGCAACAGGTAAGGATACACCATCAGAAAGATACGCTTTCCCATTTGAGGACGTAGTTCTTTCAGAAGATAGAGTTTTTAAGTTCCTCATTAAGAACAACGGCTCACAGGCTGTTACTCTTTCAAAGGCTAACTCTAAGGTTATCTGCGACGTAACAAGAGTTATGATCTAAAAAATATCTTCATATATAGAAATTTATAGCTTTATTTGAAAAGGGCGGGGGGCGTATGCCCTTTGCCTTTTTTAATTTATTGGAGGTTTAAAAATGGCAAGATTTGAAAACTTCAAGAACAGTAAAAAGACAATCGTTTTCAACAAGTCTGTACCAGCTGGCGAATCAGGTTATATTGATTCACGACTTGTGGCACATGGCGAGGTTGAAAGCGTACGTATTAATTTTGCTGTAGGCGAAAACGGCACACTTCGAATCAGACCAGCTGTAATTATTCCTGGCGAAATTATGATTGACTTATTCAGCTACGCTGAAAACGGAGATCCTTATATCTCAGGCGATAACGAAACAGTAGAAAGCGGAGTAGGTGTCGAAATTGAAAACGATACTATTTTACGTATCTTTTACGAAAATACAGGCGAAGAGGGCAGTATAGATTCTATCCTTAATGTTAAGGTTACTGTAAATTATTTTGAAACAGTAGATATAGAAAACATTATTGGCCCACGTAGCCAGGTAGGAGGTATTTACTAATGGCTGGTAATCATATTTATTTAGAGGCTATACTTGATCAGGCTATAGGCGGTTTAAATGAAATCGTCGCAGAAATAAATAAATCTGTTGAAAATGAAATCGAAAATTTAGATGAAACTGTACAGTTTTTATCTTCCATTGCTAAGGCTGCGGGTACTACTTTAAATTTACAATCTATAAATGGTTCTGCTATAAATTCAACAAGAGTATATAACAGACAAACACAGCCTAATTATTATGGACAAGGGTTAAATCATAACGCTGATATTACTAATAATTCTGTTAGCATGTCAGCTACAGCAAGAAGTTATCCAAATATGTGGATAGAAACTGAAATTGATTTAACTGATATTAATACAATCTCATTTGAATTATCTTCATTTGATCAGTATTGTAAACCATTGTTTTCAATAGACGATGAGCTTTTATCTGACGGATCAACAGAACCTATTGATACAACAAATTATATTGGAGTACACACTTTAAAATTCCACGCCACAGGAATTTCTTCATCTTCAACTTCAAACAGAACAATAAAATGGTTCAATATAAAGTTTAATGATGAATTAGCAACTTTACCAAAATTTTATGAATGGGTAAATTCGCAATCAGCTATTACAAACGCATTTGGAGCAACTGCGGAGAATGGCGGTATGGTTTCTATTCAGCCTTATTTCGATTTATCAAACGTTGCTATGTGGAATTCTATATATTTTATGGGCGATTATTCAACAATGAGGGCATACGCTTTTAATTGCGCTACAATACCTTATAAAAAATTATTTGAGATTAAAACGCCTGGTGATTTAGACAAATTACAGATATATACAAATATCGGTATTGTATTAACTTTTGAAAATAATACAGACAGAGTAACAGGCATTGTTACTAAGTACTTATAGGAGGTACACCATGACTAAAAAGGAATTTGAAAAAAAGTATTCTGACGTTATCGGCATGATCTCAGAGGCCAATAACGTTGATATGTCCGTAGCACTTGCGCAGCTTATTAGTTCAATCAAGGGACATTTTGGCATGTGCTACACAGCTGCTGGCATTAAGGAAGTATACGAACAGTATCCGGGCGTTCCTGTTAACTTCGATTATGACGAATGCTTTAACGATTATATCGCTATGATCTCAAAGTAGGGGAGGGGTTAACATGGCTGTATTAATGGTAAACCCTGACGGAACGTCCAACGCAAAGGCGGGCGATTACGTCGTTACAGGTGGCGGTATTTTCTACAAGAACGCTGACGGCAGCTCAACAAAGGTTGATAGCTTACCTGGTAGCGTTGCACCTACAGGAAAGACAGGCAGCTATTCAACAGTTAAAGCTGCTTATGATATGATCGCAAACGCTACAGGCCAGGGTGGCGGTTATGGCACACCAGACAATTCAAAGCGTAACGAGAGTATCGCTCCAGGCGTAGGCGAGACTGCAAACGTGGATCCTGTAGCGTATGTATCAGGATACGATACACCAGATTATTCATACATGACAACAGCAAGTACAGGCGGTAGTTCGTCAACACTTAGTGTTATTGTATCTGTTGCGATTTTATTAGTATTATTTGGTACTACTGTAGATTTAATAGGAGGTAAAAAGTAATGGGAAATTATTTAACTAATCTTGTACAGAAGATCCTCAATATTTATGTTAACATTTTAGGCTCTTTTGGTAATATTCTTGCAGCTGCTGGAAATGTTTTAATTTCTAATTATACTCTTACAGCTTTTGTGCTTGTTATGCTTGTTATTAGAAATAGATCCTTTAGCTTAACAAAGAATATTAAGAGTAATTACTCTAAGTAGGGGAGGGTATCTCATGTATAATCCTGGTAAAACCATGTTAGATAATTACATGGGAACAAAGACTAAGGATATCGTTTATACACAAGTTATTAACGGTCAAACAGTAGTAACGAGAAAAACAGTACCGTGGGATTATGACGCAACAGGCAAGGACTTTTTACCAAATAACCCAACATCAGAAACTATTGGCTCGGCTGTTGATATGGTGGAAAACTTAAACGATATTATTTTAAATGCGATTAAGTTTGTTAGGGATAATTGGCAGATTTGTATTTTAGGCGGACTTGCTTTAATTATCCTTATCAAAAGGTTATAATATTACCCGAAAGGGGTGATATTATGACAGAATTCTTTACAGAAATTGAAAATCTAATTTCTACAATTATTTGGGAGGTAGAACAATCATATAATTTGCTTTGTTATTATTTCGAAAATCTCGAATTTTTAATTAAGTTTGGAAAGTTATATATTATTCTATCTTCCATAGTTTTCTTTATTATTTTAATTATGCTGTTGTTCGTTCTGATCAATCAGGGCGAGATAAAAAGAGCGATTAAAACACAGCAAAATACACTTGATAGCCTTTTAGATCTTAACGAACAAGACAGCAAGAGAGATAGGGCAATCTATGAACAAGACAATAAAAATTGTGGAGAGCGGAAACCTGACGGAACACTTTAAGCTATCTGAATTTTACTGTAATACAGATAATGAAATGCTCATTAGTAAGGATTTTATCTATGACTTCCTCCCAACGCTGGAGGAGTTCCGCAAGTGGTACAATAGACCTATTACACCAACAAGCGGTTATAGAACAGTAAGACTTAATAAGGCGGTAGGGGGTAGTTCCAACAGTTCACACCTTAAAGCTTTAGCGGTTGACTTCCTTTATCCAGCTGAGTACAACAAATGGACAAAGGAAAGAAAACAGCAGTTTTTAAACAATGTAAAAGCAAAATGGACAGACCTTGCACACGCAAAAGGGTATAAATCACAGGTCAATTTTTATAGTAATCGTTTCCATTTAGGTTTTGGCTCAGGACGTGATTCTTTTTTAGATTATCGCTAAAAAACGAGGCTCTATTTTTCGATTTAAGCGTTTTTATTTTGGCGATAATATAATTAATCAAGGGGTTATTTAACTATGGAAGAAATTACAGTAAACATTTTAAATTTGGTCACTTCATACGGTGCATTGGGTGGCTGTTGTGCTTATTTTATGTATAAGGACTATAAGCTTAACCAGAGTATCGAAGAAACGTTAGATAAATTTACGATTGCTATAAATGCCCTTATTGGTAAGGGGGTAGACTAATGGCTGTATTCCCATTAATCGGCAATTACAGGGTATCGTCTGGTTTTGGTTTAAGAAATACGGGTATCGTTGGAGCGAGTAAAAACCATTTGGGCGTAGACCTTGCAGCTAATAAAGGTGAAGCGGTTGTAAGTGCTATATCTGGTAAAGTAATATTTACAGGTTCAAGCGGTGCGAGGGGTAACTACATTAAGGTAGATGACGGAAAAGGAACAGTAACCCTTTACCAGCATTTAAATACTATTAATACCTCAGTAGGTCAAACTGTACGAGCTGGAGAAAAAATCGGTACTGTAGGAGATACGGGAGTAGGCTCAGGCAGCCACCTACATTTTGAAGTAATCAAGAATGGAAAAAACGTTGATCCTTTAGCCTGGCTGAAAGGTTCTGATAAATTATCTACACCAACAGCGACATCAGGAACAGGAACAACAGAAAGTAGCCAGCTTGCGGATCTAATTAAATCTAACTGGCTAATTATTGCAGCGGGGCTATTATTAATAGCAATACTGACTAAAAAATAAAATGGGTTTTATGCCCATTTTTTTATTTTATATATTGACTTAAAAGTCATGGGGGGGTAAATTTAAATCAAGGAGATCGTTTACTATTTTAAAATCTATTCCTAAAATTGTGATTATCGAGGAATAGTATAAGTTAAATTAAGAATTTTAAAAGTGATCTAAAAGACATATAAAAGGGGAGTTATTCGCAGATACTTTTTATAAGTCTTTTATATAATAAAATAAATAAACGGTCAACCATGAAACGATCTCCTATTAACTTTTAGGAGGTCGTTTTTTCGTGCATACAAGACATTTTAATTTAAAGGTTAAGGCTATTGTAGCCGCTGACTTAGACGAGCTTATACAGGAAGTTAATGACTTCCTAAATACTGTTGAATGGGCAGACCTGGATATTATCCCTGGACTTCCTCAAAACGTATTCGGTTTGTATATAACGTACACCGAAGAGGGGCGTTAATCGTTCCTTTTAGGCACTTTATATAACATAATAAGCTCTTTTATGGCGGCGTACAGTTTAGAGCTTTAAAAATAAAACTGTGGGGTGTTGTGTCAGCCTGAGCCTGGTACGAAATATTGGCACATAGGTTTTTAGATACGTTTACCTGAGCCTTACAAAAACGTTAGCTGGAGAGGTGCCGACTTGTGGACGGTTGCAGCCTGTGAACCCTTAGGAGGTCGACAGGGGGAGGCGAGTAACAAGGGCTGTTGATAGCGAGGGCGAGTGGCGAAAATGCTCATTATATAGCTCATTTAGATATTAATAAGTTCTGTCCCCTATTTTAGGGGACGGGACTATATCCAGCTCAGGCTCATGGCGAACCATTGTAGACAGGAGGTTTAAATAGTCAATGAAACTTGTAATTTTATTTATTTTATTTTTCCTGAGCTGGTTAGTATGTCAATTTGTATGTGATGTGGTCAAGGCTAAAATGTCATTGAAGCATCAGGAACAGATGATTAATCAGTTATATTCATCAATCGTTAGATTAACTTTATCAACTATCAAGGATATCAAGGAGATGAAGAAGAATGTATAAATGTAAGCTGTGTGGAAAAGAAAAGCATGGGAAGCGTGAAATGCATGGACATTTTATGTATGCACATAGAACAACATACGCAGAGCATGGTTATAAAATGGCTGATTTAATCGAAGAAGACAGTCATGCAGAACCACCAAAGGAAAAACCTTTAGGTTTTAGATATTTATCAAAGGCTGATGATCTGGAATCAATGGCAATCGGTCAGGGGTACTTATTCATAGATGAAGAACAGAACATTTACACAGAAGAAGAAGCAAAGGCGAAAGGGTGGATATAATGGACAATTTAATTAATGAATCATTCGCAGCTGATGTTCCCGAAGATTTCCCGCCTATTGAGGAGACACCAGGAACAGCAGAAACAAGCGGTCAAATGTTCCGCATTGGAATTCCTAACTTTTCATGGTTACTTGCGAGAACAGGTGAGGGTGCTTTAGAAAGTTATCTTAATCACCCAATGAATTTTGACGGCAAGTTATCCACAGCGCAAATCATTAGAGGTTTAACGGGTATTGCTGGAACGTTAGATTATGCGCTTCTCGATATTGCTTTGGGTTGCTTTGAAAAGGTAAGAGAGAATAGGGCAGTAGTAAAGGTTAACAATGAAGAAATTAATACAAGCTACTAATAACCATATATTTATCAGCGGAATTACTCGAAGTGGTAAAACCTACTTTGCAGCGCATGCGCTGGAACAGCTCCATTATGGCGTACTGTTTTTTAATATCCAGGATACAGAGCTGCCTACGAAATTTACAAAGATGAACGTAAAAGACGTGGATCTAAGCTCACTAAAAAACGCTTTGAAAAAAGGACATAAAATAGACCTGAGATTTCCAGCGGATCTAAACCAGGCGACAATATTTAATATTATCGGGTTTGTAAGTAGGGAATTACTTAAAGCTGGTTTTACAGAAAAGGATCCTGTATATATCGCTTATGACGAGTGTCAACTTTTCAGGGGCGATTGTTTACGAGAGATTGAAATGGTAGCTACAAGAGGACTATACAAGGGGTGTCGTTGTGTTTTCATAACACAGCGTCCAGCAATGGCGAGCAAAACCCTATATACTCAAAGCTTTGAACAATATATTTTTAGGTTATCCACAGGCGAAAAAGAGTATTTCAAAAGTAAGGGGATAGACTTCGAAAAGTGCCAGCAGCTTTGGGCAGAAAATGGCGATCACTCTTATATTTATTTTAACGGACTTGAATTAATCGGTCATAAAGCGATATGAAGAAACAAATTGTAAAAACTGTTGGTAATAAAGAATATTTTTATGATCCTGACGGGCGCTTAGTGTATCGCTTTAAGGACGAGACAATAGGCTATCGTGATCACGAATTATTACCCGAAATTCTCGCTAAGCTTAACCAGGCGAGAGAGGAGGGGAGACAGCCTAATAAAAAGTTTATTGATAGCTTAATAAACATTCAGGCAGAATCTCCAACAAAGGCATATAGATACATACAGTACAAGTTATTAGGTGAGGTTTCTTATTCCGCAGTATTTGGCGATAAGGCATTGGAAGAATACGAAAAGGAAAACGCTAAAAAGGAAAATGCATCATTGCGTGATCAGGTCAACGAACTTGAACAGAAAATGAATCTGCTATTACTCATGCAGCAAGAAACATTGAAAAAGCTTAACCAGCTTGCAGAAAAGCAGCATATTTATTAAAAAATTTTAGGCGGTCATATAAGACCGTCTATTTTTTATATAAAAAAGGGTATTGACACGTCTTAAAAAGGGTATGATATGACAAAATTACAATAATATAATTATGTAAACTTGTTAATTTTGGAGGGTTTTAGAAATGGCAAAGATTACAGACATCAAGAACCCACTCACAAGCTCAGGCAATATCCTTAATATTGGCGATTGGCTCGGCGCTATCTGGTGGGTAGTATTTTTCGGTACAACATTCGCAATTGGTGCTAAGGTAGTTCAGGCACTCGATGCTAAGCTTCCAGGTTCAACTACACCTGACATGGCTGGCTTCAAGGCTGCTCCAACTGTAGCACCTATCACAGTACTTTAATTTTAGGAGGTTTAACTATGGCTAACAATGCTTATTATGCTGGTACATTTAACGAAGATATCGTTTGTTCAGAAGATACAGGCTCTGGCGTAGTTCTTACTCCGGGTATGTATGTTCCTATTGGTAAGTATGTAGTTAAGGCTGACGAAAGAGTAGGTCTCGGTAGAGGTTCATACGATTCACAGAACAGCGCAATCGGTCACCTTTTCGCTCAGTTCTTTGACACAACTGGCACACCTGTTCAGATTACTAACGGCAAGTTCAGAGTTCTTCTCGAATCATCACAGGGTATTCCTATCGGTGGTCGTCCTGTATGGGTTGACGTAGATCTTAACCAGATTGCAACAGGTAAGGATACACCATCAGAAAGATACGCTTTCCCATTTGAGGACGTAGTTCTTTCAGAAGATAGAGTTTTTAAGTTCCTCATTAAGAACAACGGCTCACAGGCTGTTACTCTTTCAAAGGCTAACTCTAAGGTTATCTGCGACGTAACAAGAGTTATGATCTAAAAAATATCTTCATATATAGAAATTTATAGCTTTATTTGAAAAGGGCGGGGGGCGTATGCCCTTTGCCTTTTTTAATTTATTGGAGGTTTAAAAATGGCAAGATTTGAAAACTTCAAGAACAGTAAAAAGACAATCGTTTTCAACAAGTCTGTACCAGCTGGCGAATCAGGTTATATTGATTCACGACTTGTGGCACATGGCGAGGTTGAAAGCGTACGTATTAATTTTGCTGTAGGCGAAAACGGCACACTTCGAATCAGACCAGCTGTAATTATTCCTGGCGAAATTATGATTGACTTATTCAGCTACGCTGAAAACGGAGATCCTTATATCTCAGGCGATAACGAAACAGTAGAAAGCGGAGTAGGTGTCGAAATTGAAAACGATACTATTTTACGTATCTTTTACGAAAATACAGGCGAAGAGGGCAGTATAGATTCTATCCTTAATGTTAAGGTTACTGTAAATTATTTTGAAACAGTAGATATAGAAAACATTATTGGCCCACGTAGCCAGGTAGGAGGTATTTACTAATGGCTGGTAATCATATTTATTTAGAGGCTATACTTGATCAGGCTATAGGCGGTTTAAATGAAATCGTCGCAGAAATAAATAAATCTGTTGAAAATGAAATCGAAAATTTAGATGAAACTGTACAGTTTTTATCTTCCATTGCTAAGGCTGCGGGTACTACTTTAAATTTACAATCTATAAATGGTTCTGCTATAAATTCAACAAGAGTATATAACAGACAAACACAGCCTAATTATTATGGACAAGGGTTAAATCATAACGCTGATATTACTAATAATTCTGTTAGCATGTCAGCTACAGCAAGAAGTTATCCAAATATGTGGATAGAAACTGAAATTGATTTAACTGATATTAATACAATCTCATTTGAATTATCTTCATTTGATCAGTATTGTAAACCATTGTTTTCAATAGACGATGAGCTTTTATCTGACGGATCAACAGAACCTATTGATACAACAAATTATATTGGAGTACACACTTTAAAATTCCACGCCACAGGAATTTCTTCATCTTCAACTTCAAACAGAACAATAAAATGGTTCAATATAAAGTTTAATGATGAATTAGCAACTTTACCAAAATTTTATGAATGGGTAAATTCGCAATCAGCTATTACAAACGCATTTGGAGCAACTGCGGAGAATGGCGGTATGGTTTCTATTCAGCCTTATTTCGATTTATCAAACGTTGCTATGTGGAATTCTATATATTTTATGGGCGATTATTCAACAATGAGGGCATACGCTTTTAATTGCGCTACAATACCTTATAAAAAATTATTTGAGATTAAAACGCCTGGTGATTTAGACAAATTACAGATATATACAAATATCGGTATTGTATTAACTTTTGAAAATAATACAGACAGAGTAACAGGCATTGTTACTAAGTACTTATAGGAGGTACACCATGACTAAAAAGGAATTTGAAAAAAAGTATTCTGACGTTATCGGCATGATCTCAGAGGCCAATAACGTTGATATGTCCGTAGCACTTGCGCAGCTTATTAGTTCAATCAAGGGACATTTTGGCATGTGCTACACAGCTGCTGGCATTAAGGAAGTATACGAACAGTATCCGGGCGTTCCTGTTAACTTCGATTATGACGAATGCTTTAACGATTATATCGCTATGATCTCAAAGTAGGGGAGGGGTTAACATGGCTGTATTAATGGTAAACCCTGACGGAACGTCCAACGCAAAGGCGGGCGATTACGTCGTTACAGGTGGCGGTATTTTCTACAAGAACGCTGACGGCAGCTCAACAAAGGTTGATAGCTTACCTGGTAGCGTTGCACCTACAGGAAAGACAGGCAGCTATTCAACA